AAAATAATAAATTTTTTTTTTTATATATATATATATATATATATATATTATATATATATATTCGTGGTTTATCGATATCCGATATCGATATATATATATATATATATTATGATTATATATATATTATATATATAATATATATCGTGGTTTAACCGTTGACTTCATTATATAGATGCCCAGTGAAAAGTGTAACTTGTACACGAGAAAATAATTTATTTGATTTTGCGATACAAATAAATAGGTTACACCGTACAAAGGTCACAGGTGTCGGAACGCGCATAAGCGTAAGAGGGAGGCGAGACAAAGACTTCCCGCCCCGAAGGGTGGGGGGGTGTGTGTGTGTGTGATCTTACGTGTGTGAGTGTTAGTCTCTGTTCTCGCCTCCTTTCCTCCTCTTGTTGTCGAGACGTCAGACGGGGCAAACACACACACAGGGGTCAAATTAAAACAAATAATAATAAAAAAATGGCGTTCGGCAATTTAGCAGTGGTCCCTCTTCCTGGTGTTGTGTCGGAAAAACACCTTGAATTTCAGGTAGGGCGCGGGGCTCCGCCAAGACAATGGTAGGGGAAACACTGTGTAACATATCCAACTGGACTCATGGTGCAGAGATGAAGTGTTTGACCCTGTGTTTCAGATATGCGATGGTGGTGGAAGATGGAGTTGTGAAGAAGATCAATGTGGAGCCAGACGGCACTGGGCTGACCTGCAGCTTGGCTTCTAATGTTCTGTCTGAACTGTAGGCATATTTAGAGAGTATTAAACCAAACTGCAAACACTCAGTTACTGTTAAAGTTGCACTAACCAAACCAAGTTCTACCCTGCTCACGCCTCTTCCTTTCCCCCAACAATGGATGCAAAAGTAACTTGGATGCTAATGTAAAGAGCTGGAAGGCATTTAACGCGCACAACTATGAAATGATTAATCAATCCAAAGGAACTAGTGTTATCCTCTGTCTCCTGATAACCTGTAAGAAAATAAAAGTCAACTGTAAAGCAACTTTCACTGTTTTCTGTATTGTTCATAGTTTAAGTTATTATATGTTTTAATAATTTTTTTATACACAGCCGTCAGCGAATAATGATGACCAATGCAAAAGACAGCATGCCCTAATGTGTCTTAATGACATTTTGAATCAAAGTAAACATGCATACGATGTAAAAAAATAAGACGCCATGCTAAATCTAACATTCAAAAGTACATCTTTCTTAATTATACAGGTAAAGTGTTGTAGATAGTAAAACATTCAGCCTTGTTATGAAGTTGTAAAGTAACAGAGATTAAGGCCTGGATGTTGTATCCATGGCTCAGACATGTTTATCCTGTTAGCCAACAATCAGGGGGGGGAAACGCTGATGTACAGTGACGTAAGGACGCAAGAAGCAGGCGCATTGCATCTTGGTCGCCGGTGCCTGCACAGAAACAGAAAGTATCAGCTCTCCACCGAACTACACTCATATCAGTCTGGACAGGACACTGAAGTAAGAGTAAGTCGAAACTCATCCATAATGAAGTTTTCATTAGTTAAAAATATGCTGTGTCCAAAAAAGTAGTGTCAGAAGATAACGAGCATTACTTTAACGTGCATAGTTATTGGCTAGCTACCTCTGAAGCTACTATAGCGTTAAGTTATCATGAAGGCGCCTACATGCTGAGAAACTGTAGCTTCACTGCGCTATCTTCATATATGGCGAGGGTCTCTTCAGGGCCACGTACTGTTTTAAGACCACCTTGAATTAGGCAGTGGCCACTCGTAATGCAATAAACGATGTTTATCTACTGAGCATTAGCTCGTTGTGCTAAAGCTATTAGCACTAAGATGTGTTACCCGCGCAATTCAATGGTGGAAGTGTACCGTATTGTAGCTAGCCAGTTGCTGTATCAAAGCGTAAACAGCTTTATATACACAGTATGGTAAACTCCTGCATGAATATCCAATGCAGTGTGTGGAATTGTTTAAATATAAGTAGGCTAAAAGTATGATAAATAAGGACATGCAGCAGGGAGTGGTTAAGGTTAATCAGTCATAACAAGAGGCCCTTTGATACCAATAACATATGTTGGTTGGTGTTAATCATATGCTGTTTACAACTTACATTTTAAATCTGACAATTCTGAATTGATTGAAGGGGGGATATACATTTGTTTTGTATTGAACCCAAGCTTAGAATCACTACACATTGTAATGTAGCATGTAACATTTAACATGATACTCTGAAATCGAAACCTAACGCACTGTATTAGTTTCAACACACCCTATTCACTTGTGTGAATGGATTCAAACCAGGAATGCTTATTGGGTGTGCACAATCACTATAATAGCCCATTCTCCTATTAGTTTAGGAACGCTGCCCAGTATGGACAAGACAGAAAATAATAAGCTAGTGTTACAACAGATCTGGCAGACTCTCACTGGGAAACATATCAAATGTCTTGGAGACTTATTTGAAACTAAAAATAAACACAGTAACTGGTTACAAAGCTTCACAGTTGGTGTTGACCACAAACTACCTAAACCAAAACGCAGTCAGAAGTCTAACGCTACAGTCAATTCCTCATGGTTGTTTCAGAAATACCTGCACACAAATAATGAAAAAAAAAATCTATTACATGAATTTGACTGCCTTTTAATTTATATTATCTTGTTTGTGTTACAGTTCATTAGTTGGTGATCTTTGACCGTCTACGAAACAGCTATGTCGTCGACATCCCAGAAACATAAAGACTTTGTGGCCGAGCCCATGGGCGAGAAGCCTGTGAACGCTCTGGCAGGCATTGGAGAGGTCCTTGGCAAAAGACTGGAGGAGAAGGGTTTTGACAAGGTAATTGGGATTTGATTTGTATTCAATAAACACGTGTGGTAGTTATCACAAATATACAATGCACTATAAAGGGTGCTAACATCGCTGCGATTGTGGTATTATCAATGTTATGGTATTTGTGTCTTGAAATCAATGAAAGAAAAACATTAGTAATGCACAGGCTTATAAAATGTTGTCATTGTAAGTTTAGTAACTATTTTTATATCAGTTTTCGTAACTGCCCTTCCCTATCAAAGTATAGTGAATATTCTAGTTTTTGTAATGTGAACATTGAAGAAACAGGGTTAGTGTTAAATAGGGATGCTCCGATCGTCAATTTTGGGGCCGATCGTCGGTCGGCGATCGGTATCAGCCGATACTGATTCCGACGATCGGCCCCAAAATTGACGATCGGAGCATCCCTATTTAACACTAACCCTGTTTCTTCAATGTTCACATTACAAAAACTAGAATATTCACTATACNGTGGTGACGTGAAGTCATGTGACCTTGCTGTAGTTCCATTATAGCCTAACATTAGCCACCTTTAGCTTAGCGGTGGTGACGTG